TGAGCCCCCCCTCCCCGCAGGCCCCATCTAGCCAAAAATGCCCCCGGCCGGGGCTGAGCTGACGCTTCTCCTGATGGAGCTGCTCCACTTGGTAAATATAAGTATTCCTCGGTGCAAGGAGGGGCCGGGGGGCCCTGCCTGCCTCTGCCTCCTGGCCTGACCCGTTTCGAGGTGCCCCGGCTCCTGCCGCTGCCTCCCACACCTCGGCGCTTTGCCAGAGCAAATCCCGGCAGCACCGACGCTGAGAGGAGCCCGGCAAAGCCCACGGCCCCGGGCTCTGCCCCCGCGGGCACAAGGGCAGGGGTTCCCCGCAGGGCTGTGGGGCTGGGGAGCGCCCCCTCACTCCCCACTGGCCTGGCTCCCTGCGCAGGAGGGAGGGGAAGAGCCGGGTGGATGGTGGTACCCTGTGTACCCCGCACTCCCTGCAGCCCTGCAGAGGTGCCCACGGTGCCTTTCGGGGGGAGAAGGGCGAAGCCATGGCACCCAGCATGTTGTGCAACCCTGGTGTGGACGGGCAGGAGGACAGGGCACGGTGGTGTCAGCAGGGGGGGACGCAGGGGAGTGACACCACAGGGGGACAATTTGGCACGGGGGCCACGTAGAGCTTTGGCAGGGCCCCAAGAGGAGGCTGGCAGGGGTAAACAAATACCAGGCTGTGATCAAGGGTGCCAGCACCGCAGGAGACTGACCCCTCTGATGGGATCTTGGTGGGGCTGAGGGGGTCTGACACCTCCCTGCCACCCACCACCAGCCCAAACGTGGATGAAAGCCCAGCACCGGCCCCATGCCCCGCCCCATGGGGTATCAGTGTCCCCAGTAAGCTGCTGCCAGCCCTGTGCCCTGCAGCCAGGGCGCAGAGGAGCTGTGCCATGGTCCGAGCATCACCCCAGGAGATGCTGAGGAGTAAGCCTGGGGCATCAGCCTGGCTGGGGGACAGCCCCAGCGTGAGCCGGTGCTGAGGAGCAGAGCCCACATCTCACTCAGCACTGAGACACTCCTGCCCACCGCAGCTGTGGGCAGGTTCCGTGTGGGCACGGCCAAACCCACCTGTCTTCAGGCACAGGGTGCCAGGGTGCCCAGAACCCCACCGGCCAGCCCTGGGTGGTGCTGCCAGCTCCCAGCCACAGGGGACAGAGCTGTGCTTGCTCTCTTATCTCCACGCAGGGCGAGCACGGGCTGGCACGGCTCAGCCAAAGCTGGGAGGTGCCATGGTGAGGACAAGCACCCTCTCCCAGGGGGACTGGGGACCACTGGCTGCCCCTGTCCCCTGCTTGTGTCACTGCTGAGCCCCGAGGGGACATGCGCAGGCTGGGCCAGACACCAAACTACCACCGTAATACAAATGCAAGTTGTATTTCCAGTCCGTGCTGGGGAACCCCAGTCCATCTGTCCCAGGGCACAGCCCTGCTCTGCCCGCAGAGCCCCTCTGTGTCCCAGCCCCCTGCCAGGGACATGCCCCCAGTGCAGGAAGGGCTCCTGCTCCATCCGCCCCTTCTCTGCTGCAGTGATGTATCACCCAGTGCCCAGTGGGATGCAGGTGATGCCCAGCTCTGGGGTCACCTCCCCCGGCTGCCCGCCCTGACTCCTCCACTGCCTCACTCACTCCAGGCTCACTGGCAGCACAGGGGCACACCGGGTGCCCAGGTTCACGGGCGCATTCCCAGGCTGGCATCACCACCCAGCACCAGATTCAGGGGCGAAGCGGGATCAGGGCTCCTCTCCCCACACGTGGCCCAGCCTGGAGGCACAAAACCAGCACTATTTATCGAGGATGAGGAAGAGCAGTACCATGAGGACGATGGGGAGGAAGACGAGAAGCAGGCTGAGCATCTCGGCCGCCAGCAGCAGTGCCAGCACCAGGAGGTAGCAGCAGCGGCAGCGCCGCTCCAGCCGCCCCAGCCGGCGGATGAGGCAGGGCGGGTACCGGACACAGGGCAGGCACCCGAACATGCGGCTGGTGTGGAAGCGCACCTGGAAGCGGTGCTCGAGGGCACCGAGGAGGCCGGGGCGCCGGGGCGGCAGGGCGGGGGGTCGGGAGGTGGCCAGGGCGCTGGGGGAGCCGGGCTGGGCGTGCAGCAGGAGCAGCTCCTCTTGCAGCTTGCAGATCTCCCACTCCAGCATGGGCGTCTTCTGGCGGCAGATGGGGCAGCGCACGCGGCCGAACTCGGCGCCGCCGGCCGTGTCCATGATGGCACGCAAGCAGGCACAGCACAGCCCGTGGTTGCAGTTGAGCAGGGTCGGTTTGTGCCGCTGGTCGTCATAGGGCTCCGTGCAGATGGGGCACTCATCCTCACTGCCCGCCGGCACGTGGCACAGCTCGGTCACCGCCACCTCGTCACTCGATGTCTCCTCTTCCTCACCAGAGAGGCTCAAGGTGGAGCTGGAGGCACTTTCCAGGCTGGATGACCCCCTGCAGGGTGCGGGGCTCTCCCCACGGGGCAGGATGGGGCTGGTGGCAGCAGCGGGAGGGTCCTGCCCCGCGGGCAGGGAGTCATCGTGGGCAGGCGGCTGGTCATGCCCAGGCAGGAGCAGCTGGGTTGCATCCTCCACTGCTGCTGCTGGCGGGTTCCAGCAGCCCCAAGCAGCAGCAGTTGCCTCTCCAGACAGCAGGGATGGCTCCCCAGGGCCCCCCGGTCCCACAGTCTTGCCCTCCCCTTGCTGCCCAGCACTGCCCTCGCCACCGGCTGCCTGCACCAGCCTAGGGCTGGGCTCTGCCTCCTCGCCCGTTGCTGGCTCCATGGGGGTGGCTGCTCCACGGCCACCCCACACACCTGCCACCCCCTGAGTCCCCTCGGGGCTCGGTGCAGGCTGCGGGTGCTGTTCCAGGGCAGGAGGTGGCCTTCAGCACGGCTGCCAGAAGGATTTAAAGGCAGCAGCATCAGCACAGAGTCCCGTCATCCCTCCGGCACAGGTTGGGACACCCTCCCAGATCCACGGGTCAGGAGCCCCATCACCCTCACCGACAAGCCACCCCAAGAGAGGCATCACCGTGAACATCCAGCAGCCACTTCCTCTTCCTCTTCTTCCTCCTCCCCAGCGCTGACGTGGTGCTGACCGGCCACAGTCCAGCAGAGAGGGCAAGAGGCTGGGCGCTGCCCGGCGCTGCCCGCTGTGCCGGCGAGGGGTGCAGGGGTGGCAGGCAGCCGTGCAGGCAGCTGCCTCCTGCCGTGGGCCGGGCAGGGCTGGGGCCGAGCCTGGCTCTCACCAGTCTGGTTTGTCAGCTCCTGGAAGCGGCTGAAATGCAGGCAGCCCAGGGCAGGAGCCATGCCCGCACCAATCAGCTCCCGTGGGAGCCGGGGAGGAGCTGGGCCCACGGCCACCTCTTCTCCTCGCCCAGCAAAAATGGAGTCACCTCTGCAGCCACAGCTCCCCACACCACTGCCCATGGGGCATGGCATGGGCCCTGTGCTGCCCTAGTGCAGCCCCCCCAGCTCAGACCCCAGTGCAGCCCCCCAGTCCAGACCCCAGTACAGCCCCCAGCTCAGACCCCAGTACAGCACACCAGTTCAGACCCCAGTACAGCACACCAGCATGGGTCCTGCTCTGCTCCCAGTGCAGCCCCCCAGCTCAGACCCCAGTAGAGCACACCAGTTCAGACCCCAGTAGAGCACACCGGCATGGGTCCCCAGTGCAGCCCCCTAGCTCAGACCCCAGTAGAGCACACCAGCTCTGCTCACAGACCAGCCCCTGGCTCACAGCACACCAGCACAGCCTCCAGTACAGCCCCTCCAGCTCACCCCTGTCCCCTGGGTCAGTCCCCATGCTGGGCCACCTATCCTTGCCCTGCCCCATAGGCATTTTGCAGGGTTTGGGAGGAAGAGCACAGCCTGGGCAGTGCCCCATGCAAGGGGACAGTGTCACCGGCGTGATGGCTGCTGTGCAGCAGCTCCATGGCATCCCCCCAGCTGTCCCCAGGGTGTGGAGACACCCAGCCTGGGCCTGTCAGGTCCAACAGCTCCTCGCAGCAAGGCAGCACCAGCAAAGCAGGGGTGTGGGGAGACCTGCAAGGCACCCCATTTCCACCCACTGCGGGGCTGTAGCTCCAGCAATGCCCTGGGGCGCTCCTCGCCTGCACAGGACCCCATGATCCGGCGTGTGGGAGGGTGGCTGGGTCACAGGCCTGGTGTGGCACCGCTGTCCCTTCCTGTCCCAGCCTGCTCCCAGGGACTGTCCCCGGCTGATTCATGCCCCGGGACCTAATTGCTATTTACACAGTGGCACCGAGTTCACTGAACTGGGCTAGAAAGGTGGTGGCACTGGCCCCACTGGGGCACGGGCAGGGCCAGGATGGCACAGGGCCCCGAGGCTGCCAGGGAACGGGCTGGAGGCCACCAGCTCACCCAATCCCAGCTGGAAGTAGCTCCTAGGATGGGGTGGACGGGTCCAGTAGAGCAGATGCTCAGGGAATGGGATAACTCAACAGGAACTGGCACACGGGGAGCTCAGACCCGGGCATGAAGCCTGCTCAAGGAAGATGGATGGGCAGCAGAGAGAGAGGGATCGAAGCTTCCTTCCTCCTGCACCCTTTCCTGCTGGCCTCAGCCACTGGAGACAGGGGGAACGGGTCTGTCAAGGCAGCATCCTGAAGCAAGAGCTGCTGCTGCTGACTAATGCCAGGGTGGAGGGACTCTCATGCAACAGCTCACTTCCTCTCGATCCTACCACAAACAACGGCCGCTGCCAAGGCTGTAGCTCTAGCAATGCCCGCGGGTGATGCTCACCCAGCACGGGGACCCCAGGAGCTGAGCCACGTGGGATGGCAGCTCGGTCCCACGCAGGAGCCAGCCAGCAGCATCCCACCCTGGACTTCTTGCCTCCACGGTGTGGGCAGGAGCCAGGCTTTCCACACATCAAATCCACCTCCCCAGGAGCCGGGCTCCCCCTGCCCACCCATGATCCTAATGCCACCAGGGAAGCGCTGGCTGAATAAACCCACCCTCATTGCCAGGCCCCTCACCTGGCTGGGGTAATCTCAGCCCAAGGACGATGCCGGAGGTGGATCATTTTGCTGGCTCCTTTATTTAGGCAGAGTCTGTGGGGAAGGGGGAGGCAGAGAGCCAGGCTTATGACCAGGTTTCAGACTGGAAGCGCTGGGACCGTTCCAGGGCTCTTAAATGCTCCTCTGCTTCGGGAGGTGACAGGCCACCTTCCAGCTGCAACACCGACTGCAGGGCTTCGGCCACCGCCGCTGGCATCTGCTTGGCATTCCTGGAAGAGAGAGCAGGTGGAGCGATGGAGGGCGAGGAGGAAAACCAGGGCCCATCTGCAGCCCCAGAGCTCTGGCAAAGCAGCCCATGGGCAGGGCACCAGTCCCTGCGGCCGAGCCTCCCGCTCCTGGCACACAGCGTGGGCTGCGGCCGCGCCGGGGCAGGGGGAACCCACCTCACCCCCACCACAGCCTGCCTGGTGCAGGAGAAATGACAGGCTTGGAGAGGCAGCTCCTACCACTCCCTGGAGAGCAGCACCGTTAGCCACACGGGGCTTCCCAGCGCTGGCATTGCCAGGCAAAGACCTGCCCTGGGTACCCAGTCCCCGGCGAAGGAGAATCACGGCTCAGTGGCCTTAACTCCTGCCCCTGGATTGCTCCATTTCCCATCGCCCTCATTAAAGGGACACAGGGAATATGCACGAGTCATAATTTATCAGCAGGAGGGCAGGAAACTGTCCTTTCATCTCAGGGGAAACGTTCGATGGAAAACATGTCTGATCCTGGGCTGGGGAAGGCCACTGCTGGGAAGGAGCAGCTGCTTCCGTCCCTCTGCTGCCTCCTTGCAAGAAACCTGAAATGATTGTTTTGATGGTGACATTTGTAACCAAAGCCGGTTGAAACCTCAAAATAAAGAGAAATAGTGAAGAATACATGAGCTGTGCAGACAGGATTCAACACTTTCAAGCGTGATTATTTCTTATGGGAAATAAGAAATTCAGACTTTTTTTCCTGGAGAGAGTTTCATTTGATGAACTGACTGTGCAACAGAAAAAAAAAAAAAAACACCAACTAATAAAAAATTTCCCAGGCTGCTCCAATTGGCACGAGTATCTGGCAACGTCCTTGCTGTTTCCCAAGAACAAGGCAGAATTCTGACTTGCATTTGAAGCTGATTAACATCCCAAAATACACAGAAAGGAGGTCTTCTTTTTTTGGAAGAGTCATATCGTCTCTGAGTCAGGCACTGATATGCAAGTGCAAGATAATGTAGCTGGGCTTGTGATGGAAAACATGTCAGATATCTATTTTTTGCAGAAAAAGAAAGACATTTTCAACCCTTCTGGGCCCGGGTGAGATAAGCTGGGCACAATCAGAGAGGAGATAGAGCCCTGGCTCCCCAGAGCCTGCCCCAGCCAGCAAGGGCCAGGAAGCCAGACACACTGTCCATGGCCCAGAGCTGCTTCTCAGGGACATACAGCCCCAAATTCACTTCCCCCATCTTTCTCCCAGCATGGCTGAAACTGTGAATACAATTCTTAGGGGAAAAAAAAGGGGGGCATTTTGAGGCTACATCACCTGCACCTTCCCATTTGGCTCCCCCACTGCAGGCCAGGGGGGCCACTGTCACCCCAGGTGTCCATACATGCGGTGTGGGCTGTTCAGGAGGGGCTGGCAAGTGTCCACTGCAGACAGGACAGTTGCCACTGCAGACAGGACAGTTGCCACTGCAGACAGGACAGTTGCCACTGCAGACAGGACAGTTGCCACTGCAGACAGGACAGTTGCCACTGCAGACAGGACAGTTGCCACTGCAGACAGGACAGTTGCCACTGCAGACAGGACAGTTGCCACTGCAGACAGGACAGTTGCCACTGCAGACAGGACAGTTGCCACTGCAGACAGGACAGTTGCCACTGCAGACAGGACAGTTGCCACTGCAGACAGGACAGTTGCCACTGCAGACAGGACAGTTGCCACTGCAGACAGGACAGTTGCCACTGCAGACAGGACAGTTGCCACTGCAGACAGGACAGTTGCCACTGCAGACAGGACAGTTGCCACTGCAGACAGGACAGTTGCCACTGCAGACAGGACAGTTGCCTCTTGTACAAGGAGGATGAGGCGCTCAGATCCCACCTGCCTGACCAGGACTGAGAGCCACCCTGTGCCAGGGACAAAGACCCCAGCGAGATGGGTCTTGGAGCAATCCCCATGTCCAAAACACCACCCTCACAGCCAACACAAACTGCTGCAATGGGGAGAACTGTGCAAGCCCTGCTCTTTCCAAGACACTGATCCTTTTTTGGCAGCCCCCAGGGTGCCTCCATCAGCACCAGAAACGAGCAAAGAGGATGGAAGGAGGAGAGGACAGAGCCATCAGGACACCATGCCTAGTGGTCACCCAACAGCTGCCCAACGGTTTCAGCATTTGGGCTGTGAACGGAGGTGCAACCCCAAGTCCCAACTGCAGTTTGATGGAGGAAACCAAACCTAAACCCCAGATTTGTGGGTAGAAATCATCAGTTTGGGGTAAGTGCCCCAGAAAGCCCCGTGATGCAGCGAGGCAGGCGGGGCTGGGCAGCAGCGCTGGTGCAGCAATGAAGGCGGCGGTGGGTGGCCTGGCCTCTGCTCCCTGGACCGTAAACAAAAATCTCCTTCTCCCAGGAATGCGGCGAGGCCAGTCTTGCCCTCCAAGGCACTGGGGAAGTTCCTGCTCTCGTGCAGGACAGGCAGGAAAGAGCCTCCTGCAATTGTTGCTCATGTCAACAGCACGGCACAGGTTTGCACGGCGCTTTCCAGGTCATGGGGTGCACGACACACACTATTGCCAGCCTCTCACCAGCTCCAGGAGCCCAATTTCCCAATGCTCACCCCAGGCAGCGGCCGAGCAGCCTCCTCCCTGCCATCCAGGCAGCGACAAGGGCAGGCAGGTTATGGGCTTTGCCCAGGAAAGCAGTCACAGAGCCATGAACGGAGCTGCAGATATTCTGCCTCCAAAGGCCAGACCCAACTTTTGGCCAATGGTTTGAGATTTCCCGTCAGCCTAAGGCAAACAACCACCTCGTGCTGTCAATGGAGGCAGGCTATGGTGCAACGTGGCTCATCCCTGCACCGGGAAAGTTTTGGGTGTGAAAAGCCAGCCAGAATGTGGCAAGGGTCCCAAAAGCTATTTTTCATGAGCCTCAGCACCGGTGGAGTGCTCCTGTACTGTGCTTTAAAATCCTCCTGCCCATCTGAACAGCCACAGAAATCGCATAAGCCTCTTCCTCTGGTTTCACCAAGCCCCAGTGGGTGAGAAGAGAGGCAGGACTCTCCCGTGTATGCATTTGCCATGGGTCAGAGGCCAGGGTGCCCACTTTCAGGTGATGCTGATCACAGGTGCTGGCAGTTGGGAGGGCTGGGCACACGGGGTCGGCTGGAGCACCTTCTCCACAGCGCCAGCTCTGCCCCTCCTCACCCGAGGGCAGCACAGGTGAGAAACAGCCCTCTCAGCCCAGGGCTTGTGGAGCAGGACATACGGAGAGAAGGAACGAGCAGGTCCTTCTGTGGTGGTCAGTGCAGCCCCCAGAGACCTGCCAGGGTGCAGGGTGTGCTCCTCTGGAGGCTGAGCTGAGGGAATGCAGATGCCTTGATGTGATACGGTGTGACGTGCAGCCCCACTCCCCCAGACCTGGCGCAGAGACCTCTCACTCACCCAGCCAGGTAGATGTGAGCATTCCTGCTGCTCAGCAGCTCCCACACCAGCCTTCGGTTCTCCTGGATGCGGTGCTGAACATAAACCTTCTCCTCCTGCAGGGAAACACGGCGCTGAGCCCGCCAGCCCAGGCAGCAGCCCCAGCCGCACGCCCGGTGCCTGGGGACCATTCTCAGGTGTTTGCAAGAGTCCGGGGCAGCGCAGCCCTCCCCAGAGCAGGGGGCACTGGGAGAAGCAGCTGGATCAACTCTACAGAGAAGGGGATCCCCACACCTCACGTCAGTGCCCTTGGGATGGGTTGGAGGGAGATGGGTGCTGCGGCAGGAGCTTCAGTAGGGAATGCGCCCCCAAATCCTTTGGCTGCCCCCTGCCTGCTCCAGCTCTGGGGAACAGCCAGGGTCAGGAGGTGAGGAGTCCCCGAGTGTTTCCCCCCTGCTCTCTGCTCTCCCAGCACGGGAAGAGAAGGCTCGGTGACACCTGTGCCAGGGCTGCGCAGGGCAGAGACCCTTCCCCACACCCTTGCCTGCTGGTCCCAGCCCTGTCACCTGCTGGAGGCCAGAAAGAGTTTAGAAGGGCAGGAATCTTGCAGAGACAGCCTTGGTCCCACCAAGGACTGGATATAAATGGCTTTTTCGCAGCACAGCCCAACCAAGGAGAGTCCCCAAAGGGTTAATCCACAAGACTTCACTGCCTACGGCTCTGGCTCCTGCCCAAGAGGAACACCATTGCCAACGTGCCTGAACTCACTGCGGGCCCAGACAGCTTCTCCTCCGTGACAAAGGTGACAGTGTGATGGAGGCCAGGCCCTCTGCCGCGTGTTCCACCACGCCGGGCTCTGCACAGAGCTGAGCTGAGCCGCGGGCACAGCCTCCGCCCCACATCCTCCTCCCTCCCATCCAGCCCCAAAGGCAGTGAGGTTCTCGCTGCACCTCAGGCTCCCTGCATGCCGCGGTTCGGGGGTGTGTGTGGGAGCAGCCCCCAGCCCCAGCTGTCGGGAGAGCCAGTCACTGTGCGGCAGCAGGTCCACGCAGCTCCACTGGTGGTAGCACACTGGAGAGTCAGGTCACCCCCGGGCACAGCTCCACTGCCCCAACCTGGCTGCTGGCCACGCAGGAGGTGAGCAAGCCCTTCACAGGCACCAACACAGCCAGCTGGTCGCTCAGATTCAGCATCATTAACATTAATCAGCTAAGTGCTGACAGAGGCTCTGCGGCCGAGGTTAGGGCTCCAAGCAGGTCGTTTAAGGACCTGCAGCTACCTAGAAACCAGAGTGCCCCAGTGACAAACTTGGGTCACGACGTCTCAGCTAAACCCTGGGGCATCCTGCTGAGAATTAGCGACAGGCGCATTAGGCTGGGATCAATCAGTCTGCACCACGGGGCAGACGTGATGTGACAGAAGGTCACTGCAAAGGGGACCTTACAGAGTGAAGAGGCAAATCCTGCTCAGCTGTGGAACATCCCAGCTTCTGCAGATTCTTTGAAAGCAAACTTTATGATGAGTTAACAGCTGTGGTACCTCCTAGAGCCGCAGGTACTAAGGCCCAATGTGGCACATCCCAACTGGCTGTGCCTCCCTGTTGCGGCACTGCAAGGACTCGGTGGCAGAAGACCCTTAGGACAAACTGCTTCACCCCACAAAGCAGGCAGAGAAGAGACCAGGAGCCATGCCATGAAGTAAGTCCCATCCCTCCAGAGTCTGTGAGGGCAGGAGGAGGCTCTGGGGCCGCTCTCCAGACGTGAGGAGCGGCAGGTCCCGCCTTTGCTGTGTGAGCCACCAGAAAAAAGGCAGGCTGGTCATCCAATGAACCTCTGCAGCACTGCTCCTGTTCATCAAAGACTTGGAAAGCCTTCACAGAGGCATTCAACTCATGCCTTACAAGTGACTGGATAAAAGATGCTGGCTTCATGTCAATACATGCACACTGCCAGGAGAAAAGGACCAGGGCAGCTGAGCTACCTAGAAATACCCATTCTCACTGACCCTTTTTTATCAGATCTCTCTACTTCAAAAGCAGGTTGAGCTTTCAGTGCCATCAAGGGACAGGGGAAGGCACTGAAACAGAGTCCCACCTCACGGAACCCCTCTGGCCATATAAAAAGCCCTGCAGCCCAGAGAGGGGCTGAGAGCTGCCCACCAAAGACACTGCCTGGGAAATAAGGGAGCAAAGTGAGGGGCTGAGTTGTGGGGGTGCTTGTACCTCCAGGGAGCTTCCTCCATGCAGGCTGAGGCTCAGGAAGAGCTGGCACAGAGGCCAAGCTCCTCAGCTTCAGCCAGTGATCAGAGGGACACAGTGAGGGGGTGACACTCAACCAAGAAAGGTTATTGCCTGGTGACTCCCCCACCCCGAGAGGCTTGGGAGCCTTTTATCACTCACGTGGTCCAGCCAAACAAAGCTGGCTAATGCCTTATCTGAGGGCAGCCCTGTCCAAGCACTTGAGGCAGCCACGTCTTGGCTGGGCAGCTGCACTGCAGTGCTGTTGGGGATCCTGGCCAGCATCGAGGTGGTGTGGGGGACTGAGCTGACCACGGTGCCTCCCCACCAGGCCCTCCGCAGGCCATGCCAACAGGTACAGGGACCAGAAACACTGGCAGAGTCTCATCAGTGCTGCCTGAGATGCTTCTGTATCCATCCTCCTCCACTGGAAACTAACCTGGTCCCTGGAGAAGGCCGTGAAGAGTGTCAGGAAGCCCTTTGTCACCAGCTCTTCCCACTCTGCCTGGCAGTAGAAGTCCTTGGATTTCTGGCGGCAGCCAAAGAACAAGCAGTTCCCTGCAGAGAGCAGACCAGAAGGGCTGTGCTGGGTGGACCAAACGTCCTGTGAATGCTGGGGACCATCGGTGCCTCTAAGGCTGTCCCCTCTTTGCCAGGTCTGGCTGACAGCCCTGACCTGGAAAAGCCAGGAAGACTCAGGAACCATGTGACCATTAAGCCAGGTGGGTTGTGACAAACCAGAGGCCCCTGTGGGCTGGGAAAGCAGGAGGCAGGGCAGAAGAGCCCTCCAGGGCTGCCTGTTTTCCTAGACCAGCCTCAGCTTTCTGTTGAAACCCACAGCTGAGCCAGGGGGATGAGGATGGGTCACGGGCAGAGGCACAACTCCTTATGCAGCAGAAGATGGGTTCAACAACCCACCTCCACTCACCGAGAGCCAAGAAAGAGCCTCTGCAGAGCCCTGGGAGCAGCCTTGCAGCACGGCCTGTGCATAATCATGCAGGTTGCAAACACTGGGCTCTGGTCCTCACCTGCCCCGGAGCCCAGCTTGCTCCCATTCACACACAGGGAAGCCTGGGCCTGTCCAAACCCCCAGGAGTCCCAAGTCCCTCCTGCTGAATGCAGACCTGTCTACAGGAAGGGACACCCCATGTCCCTCCAAGGACCATCTCTCACCTCTACGTCCTTGTGCCACCCGCTCCTGTATCGCTGCTCGGAAAGGTGCCACCCCTGTGCCAGGGCCAATCAGGATCACAGGGGTGTCAGGGTCAGCCGGGAACTTCAATCCTCCTTTCTTCACCCAAAGAGGCACCCTGACATCACCTGCAAAACAGACTGGCATCACCCCACCACCACTGCACCAGTCACACCCTGCAGAGGGCCAGCCAGGCATCCAGCTCTTCTGGGATGCTCCAAAGATACAGACAGCAGCTGGCTTACCACAACCCCAGCACCAAGGCACCCCTACTGTCACAGGGACACTATGTGTGTGTGAAAAGTACTTCATCCATCTCAGCATGGTCTCTGCAAGTACCTGAGTGAACCCCAGAGCAAGGCAAGAGCCCCACAACACATGGGTTTTGGGACAGCCTGCTCCTCACACAGCCAGTGCTAGCGAAGTCAGTGGTGGAGGTGAGCAGACCCCGATCTGGGTATTCAGAGAAGACACAATCTTGCCCTGGAGTCACTCAGAGCAATTCTCTACCATCCTGCAGCAGCGAGACCCTCTGAGCTTGTCGCATTTGCCTGGGGACTCAGACAGAGGGGTTTTGTGGTTAGAGCAGATGAGCAGTAATGCGCAGGCTTCACAGGACAGGACAAATGTACTCAAAGGAAGGACAATCCTTCCCAGAGCTGGTGCTATGGGGCTGGAGGTTTCCAGCTATCAGAACACTACCAGCTCCAGGATACCAGGAGCAGTCAGCAAGGCGTGCTGGTGCTGGAAGCAGGAGTGTTGAGCAGCTGGGAGAAAACCAGGAATTTAGGGTGCTCAGGGCAAGCTGAAGGAGCACGCCATGCTCTGAAGAGGATGGGAGCAGCGAGGAAGGACGACTACTCTGAGTTCAGCCCATCCTGCCAAGCCAGTGTGCTTCAGCTCCCCACTCCCCGTGGTGGTGGTACTCCACCCAGGGTCCAAGCAGCTCCAGCGCGTGGCCAGGACATACACAGCTCCACTGTGGTCCCATGGCATCAGCTATATGTGCTGTGGCAAGCACATGAGGTTTTCACAGAGTCCAAGCAATTACCTTGCTCTGGGTTGAGAGAAGCCAACCAGGTAGAGCAGAGACCACGGCGGGGTTTGCTGAGCCGCGTCTTGTACCGCACCACTGCCATGAGGATCTGGATCCGGTCAGGGTGAGCCTGTGTCCAGACAAGAGCCATGAGACATCAGAAGACACCGAGCACAGCTCTACAGGAAGAGTCCAGCGCCTCCTCCAGTGACAAAGCCTGTGCCCAGCTCCTGCCAGGGGTATCAGCAACACTTGTCCCAGCCTGAAACAGCCACTCGGACACAGAATGGAGCATACCCTTGCCTAAAATCTTTCCCATGGGGAAAGGGGTTTTTTCCAGACACGCACAGCTGTGAGAATGCTCTGCACATCTGGCAACAGAGACTGTCCAGTCCTTGAGGTCCCCATGGAGGGCAAACACCACCTGTGTATGGGCTGGCATCTGCCAGGCCACCCGGGCCAGGTCCCACTGCCACCTCCCGGCAGCAGCAGGAACCAGCTCTCCCCCTTCCCATGGCCACACCACCCAGGGAAGCTCCCGGTCCCCGCAGCCCACGCTCCCCATGACAAGGACACCAGACCCAGCACTTGCAGGGCTGCAGGAGGGCAAGTGCCCTCATATGAAGGCTGGCATCCAGCACGTCAGCTTGCCATGCGCTCACAGCAGAGCATTCGGGTGCACTGTGGGTGCTCAGAGGGCACAGCCTGAACATCCGTGGCACGCACGGCAGCACCGAGGGTCAGCCCTGGCCCTGCCTGACCTTCTGCTCACAGCCTGACACGAGGTCGAAAAGGGCAGAGCTCTCACCAGCAGGGAGGAGGCAATGGAGAAGGCACGGGGTCTGATGCGAGGGATGAGGTCCAGCAGGTAGTCGGGCGGAACGAGACACGTGGTGTGAGGGAAGTCCCAGAGGGCCTGCAGAGCCAAGGGAGGGTGAAACCTAGGGCACCCCAGAGGGCAGCCTGCCCACTCCTCAGGGTGGTACAGACTGTGCCACATTGCTGTGCCACGCTGGCCTTACCCAAAGGCACCAACTGCCCTGTCCCACCTCCCTCCCCTCAGCCCCAGGCCGCAACACAGGGACCACCACAGGGAACCGGAATTGTTTGGAGCAGGTCTTGACCACCAGCAGAAACCCAAGGACACCTCAGAAAGTCTGTGAAGTAGATGAAATTTCCCAGCCAAGAAATTATGGCTCATCACCTGCTTGGGTGCTTTATGCCTTGGCACAGCCCTCACAGAGCAGGTCTGCCATGCTCCCCCAGCCCTACCTCCAGAGTGGTCCTGCGGGGCCGGTTGCAGTAGCTGTACAGCTCTTCCTGGCCCTGTGCAGAGCTGAACTCCTGCAGCTTCTCCCGCTCCAGCTCGTTCGTAGAGAAGTAGGACAAGAGCTGGAAGAAGGAGCGCCGTGGCACACAGGAGATGTCCAGGTAGTGGGTGACCAGGTACCGGATAGTGCAGGGCTGCGGCAAGAGGGCAGGGAGGGACGTACCTGCAAGGCCGAGCAGCGGGAATGCTCAGTGCCAGCAGCGGGGCAGGACACCTGAGCACCACCCGCCTGCTGCCCCCGCAGCTCTGGCACACCCCAGGATGGGGCAGGGGTGTGAACAACCCCAAGAGGGTCTTGGGCTGGGCTGGGGACTGCAGGATCCTCCATGCTCTGCGCTGGGGGCTGCAAAGACATGGGTACAGATTGGACTTCACCGAGTTCCTCCCGCTGGCACCAGCCCTAATGCGGGATCCAGACACACAGAGCGCTGGGGGGGAAGGAGAGCCCCCCCACTGTGAGACAGGCTGAGGCCCTGTATCCATCAGCCGCTCCCAGGTCTAAAGCAAAGCAGAGCTCCAGGCTAGGCCAGAGCTCAGGGAGCTGCCCGCTCCTGGCAGGGAGGGAAAAGAGCAGTGGGCAGGACCTACCAGGTTCTGTGGGCTTCAGCACAAAGTGTCTGTCTGGATCCAGGCGCAGGAGCTGGCAGAACTGCTCCACGTCTTCGGGGCAGTTCTGGGGCCGGATCATCACCACGTCTCCTGCACTGAACCTGCGGATGCAGCGGGACCTGCCGAGCGCAGCCACGGGGCAGGCGCAGGGACAGCACAGCACCGCGACCCCCACCAGCCCCCGCGCCACAGGAGAGCCCACGGCTCAGCCACATTTCCAATGTCACTAATGCTGTGCTCTCTAAGGCAAAGAAGGCCAGTCCACAGGCAGGACCCACGCTGCCACACACCCCTGCCTTTGCCATGGAGGGGGACAACACAGCAAGGAGCACATCCCTGAGGCCACCACCTCAGATATCACAGAATAAGGGGAGTGGAAGAGGAAGGCAGGCTATGGGGCATGCGATTCCACACAGCAAGGCACAGGGGAGTCAGGACAATGCTTACGTGATCCCTGAGCCCGTGACATCGAACTCAATGAGCCGGACATCCTGGAAATGGGATTCTGCTGTGACCCGCTGATTGGACACCATCCGGGCAGCGAAGGGATGCAGCTCAGAGGCCACAGCCCTGGGCGCTGCCGGCTGGAGTGGGCCACCATTGCGGTGTGGGGAGTCCTCATCCAAGTAGTGCAGGGTGTATTTTGGGGGCAGGCTGTGGGGAGAAATGCAGTGTGATTACCTTCATGTCACAGCTCCTCTGCTGCTGTAGCATTAGAGGCTTGAGGCAGGGAGAGGCCTGACGTCTCCCTCCGTATCCACAACCTGTTGTCCCTGTCCCCTAGAGCTGACCTGTGGTAAGGGAATATAACATGGCCTGCCAGGAGAAGGAGATCCCAAAGGCTGCAGAGCAGGCAGAGGGAGGCTGGCTTGGCCCACAAGCTTGGCAGGTCTGCCAAGAGCAGAGGGACATCAGGACAACTAAAGGGGCAGAACACTGCCAGGGCAGTGAGATGTGCACCCAGACGACAAGGGGACACCCCATCCAGAGAGAGATGGGCCACCTGTGACCAAAGTCCAAGGGATACAAAAGCTGCATAGGGAGGTTTCCTGGTCAAAGCAGGGCATAGCTCCAACCTGGAGAACTGACAAGGAAACATGGCATCTCACAGCACCAGCTCCAGCAGTCCCTGCTGACCCTCTGCACTCACCGTACATCTGGACTGATGATCTCAAAGCCAGGAGGGAGAGGATACAAGGCGAGGACCTTGTCCCATAAGGCCAGGAGCCACGGATCAATCACTGCATCTGGCCTGCAAAGGAGAAGATTCGGGCTTCAGCAAAGCTGTGACTCCTGCATCATCCCCGCCATGCTCCAGTGCTGCTACCGTGCACCCAGACAATGCTGGGCCGCCCCTGGAAAACCACCTCAGCTCCCCCTCCACGGTGCAGGCAGTCATTCCCTTCCAGCTTCAGGTGTGGAGACATGTCTCGGCCACTCTTAGCACTCACCCGCCCTCCAGGGCACAACCACTGAGGGCTGAAGAGAACAACCAACCCCCCGAGTCCAGTCAGGGGCAGTCACCGACCCCCCGAGCCACACGCTCAGGCTGCTGTAACACCCGCAGTATGTGGCTGTGTGACACAGCCGTCCCCTGAGCAGAACACCGCTGGGGCAGAGCCAGGAGACGGTGGCACACGCTGGGGGTGGTGGGATACCCTGGAGAAGCAAGTGACCCAGGTGCTGGCACAGAAGAATTATGAGCACATTCACAGAGAGCAGCAGGAGGCTGCTGGTCACATCTGGGGCGCAGGAGCAGACCCATGGTGGTTGCTGCAGGAGAGGCGGCTGCTGTCCTCAGGGGTAAAGCATCCACAGGCCTGCCATCAGCCTGAGGACAAAACTGCAGTGCACTCCAGGGCTCCCCCCCAAACCCTTCCACTGGGCTCTTACCCCAAGTCATGCTGGTCGTCTCCCAACGCCACTGGCAGCAGAGGGTTGCCCCCAAGCTGTAGCACCCGTTTGTGCAGCTTCTTCGCAACAAAATTAAACCTGAGCAGAGAATAACTGCAGCTGTAGAGGGCAGGGCTGCTCCAGGACAGCAGGCGCTGGCTACAGGAGCCAGCCCAGGCTGCCAGGGCAATGCTGGCGCAGCACAGAGGCAGGTCCAGACAGAGCCAGCACAAACGACCTGGCCCCATGCCCTGCCCAGCCTGTGCCTCCCTCCTGGGACAACTCAGAGAAGCAGCTGGCTGCCACTTGCTGGGACACAGGCTGTGCCCAGCTTCCCAGAAGGCACTCAGGGAGGTCATGCTTCCCTTCAGGGCACCTTGTTCTCCTGGCAGAGAAACACCTCTTCCCCTCTAGCCCCTCACCACCCCACAGAGCTCAGGCACGCTCCCATCCCTCCCACTACAGCTCTTTCCAGCACATGGGAACAATCTCTAGGGAGAGAACTGGGACTAACTGTCTGCCACCTAAAACTCTATGCTTCATGCTGCCTGTTGGCTTGGTCCACTGAAATTGCTGTGGCACAGGCTTTCCTCCAATTCAGACAGAGAACTGAATGGCTGTAATAACTGACTGAAAAACAATGTCTGACACACTGCAGCAAAGCATCTGCTTGAACAGGCAAGGAGGAAAAAAATGGGCAGAAGCCCAATTCCTGAGCATGAGGAGGGACATGGGATGGTAGGACAAGGATTTTTAAGGCTGGTGGGAATTACATTTCATCTGAGCTGCTGCTCTAGAGTCAGGCTTTGTCTCCCCTTACCCCCTCCATCCTCCAGCCCTCTGGTCTCGCCTGCAGCTGGAGCTGTTAGGAGCTGCTGCCGCAGGCAGACAAGGAGCCGGAGAGCTACTTACTTGGGATAGGAGGAGTCACCAAGGCCTAGCACGGCGTAGTCCAGTTGGCAGAGGGAACCAGGTGGCAGGTTCTTCCGGAACAGAAACCGCCAGAACGTCTACGAAGGACACAGCTGTGCAGCCATGCTGCTGCCAAGGAAGCCTTCCCTGCCTGCCTGTCCCTAGCTCCCCCCCTCACCCACCCATCAGGACCCTCCTGCCCTTGCAGCCCTGAGGAAAGGGACTTGGGGTGCTGATGGATGAGAAGCTGGACAGGAGCAGGCAGTGGGCACTTGCAGCCCAGAAGGCCAATCCCATCCTGGGCTGCATCAAGAGATGTGTTGCCAGCAGGTCCAGAGAGGGGATTCTGCCACTTTGCGCTGGTGAGACCTCACCTGGAGCACTGTGTGCAGGGCTGGAGCCCTCAATATAGGAAGGACATGGACCTGGTGGAGCGGGTCCAGAGCAGGGCCACAAAAATGATCAGGGGGTTGGAGCACCTCTGCTACGAGGACAGGCTGAGGGAGCTGGGGTTGTTCAGCCTGGAGAAGAGGAGGCTCCGGGGAGACCTAATAGCAGCCTTCCAGTACCTGAGGGGGCTACAGGAAGGCTGGGGAGAGCCTATTTCCAAAGGCCTGCAGTGACAGGACGAGGGACAATGGCTTTAAGCTGGAGAAGGGCAGATTTAGATTGGATCTTAGGAACAAGTTCTTTACTGTGAGGGTGGTGGAGCACTGGAACAGGTTGCCCAGGGAGGTGGTTGAGGCCCCTTCCCTGGAGATATTCAAGGTGAGGCTTGACGAGGCCCTGGGCAACCTGGTCTAGTTGGGGGTGTCCCTGCTGACTGCGGGGAGGTGGGACTAGATGCCCTTTGGAGGTCCCTTCCGGCCTGGACAATTTTACGATTCCTCTAACATGGACAGGAGCACGTCCTACCTTCATGTTGTCAGGTGGGTCACCCTGGCCAGTGGTTGCACACACAAACACCACCAGCAGCTCATTGATGAGGTTGGCCTGTGGGCACAGACAGGGAAAGGAGCACTCAGGTCGTCTGTCCTGACACTGCTGCTCACATCACTTTGAGTTCAGGGACAGACCATGCACAGAACAAAACCTGCAGCCCCACGTGGCACAATCTCCTCTACAGGCACCGCAGCAGCATCGGCTGCTCGGTGCCCCTCGCCCTGCAGGGTACGGCTGTGCATGTCACCTAACGCAGACTTGTCGTGGTTTAACCCCAGCTGGCAACTAGAACCACACAGCTGCTTGCTCACCCCCTTTCCTACCACCCTCAAGAAGGTCTGGGAGAAGAGGGAGGGGGGGAAAAAAAAAAACAACCAAACAAAAAACCTTGTGGGTTGAGATAAAGGCAGTTTAATAGAACAGAAAAGGAAAACAACAATAATGACACAAGTCACTCTCACCAGCTGGTGAGATGGTGAAATTGGCACCTTCCCAAGCAGTGATCACGAGTACCCGCCCCCGGCTAACCCCATTTATATACCAAGCATGATGTCTACAGAACAGAATAATCCATTGGCCGTTCCATCACTCTGTCTATGCTCCTTCTCAGCTTCCATGGGAAGCTGAAAAAAGTCCTTGACTAGTATAAACATCGCCTACCAACAATGAAAACAATATGAATTACTGACATTCCTTCCATACCACAGCAGCCACTAGAATGAAAATTAACTCTGCCCCATGTGAAACCAGGACAGGACTCTATCCCAAGAGTCGCTGCTCAGTTTTCACATGGTTTTAGCTGCGTTAAGCACAAGGTGCTCCCAGGGAGGGCAGAGAACCAGGGTCTGGTGAAATACAGCAGGTCACAAGGAAGGCGGAGGATGCCTGAGCACCAGAAATGGGGTCGGTGGAGACAGCACAACGCCAGAAGTGCCTGGAGCCCCCCTCTGCCTCCCGACTCACCACCTCATAGCTGTCAAGCGCCTCCACCCTGCACTGGAAATGCCGTCGCTTGGCTTCTCTGCCAATTCTCTCGGCTGTGTCTTGAGCCGTCCCGGTTTGGCTGCCGAAAAGAATGAGGAGCTTCCGTTCCACCATCTGCAAAGAGATAAAACCAGAGTAAAATCACCAGAAGATGAAGGGCTGGGGACCGAAGCCGGGGACTCAGTGCCGGGGCTAAGCCGCTGTCCCCAGCTCCGGCCTAAGCCCCGGCCCCCGACTCCGGTGTAAGACCCAGCCCCAAGCCCCAGCCCCGGCTCTGGCCTGAGCCCCGGACCCTGGCTCCAGCCTGAGCCCCGGACCCTGGCTCCAGCCTAAGCCCCGGCCCCGGTCTGAGCCCTGGCTCCCGACTCCGGTGTAAGACCCAGCCCCAAGCCCCAGTTCCCGGCTCCGGCCTAAGCCCCGGCCCCGGGCCTCCGGCTCCAGCCCCGAACCCCCGGCCCCCCGCAGGTCCCACCATGCCCTCACCGCGCCCCTTCCCCATCCCGCTGCTTCCGCTTCCGTCACCAGCTGGCGACGCCTCTCCGGGACGTCATCAGAGCGCGCCGCCGGGAGCCCCGCGGCGGGCTGAGGCGCCGGGGGTCGCCGCTGTCCCCCCCCCCCCGCGGCAGCGCCCATGTCCCCGCGGCCGCCGGGACGATGCTGTTCTCCCTGCGGGAGCTGGTGCAGTGGTTGGGCTTCGCCACCTTCGAGATCTTCCTGCACGGCCTGGCGCTGCTCGTCTTCTCCGTGCTCCTCGTCCTGAAGGTGGACGGCCAGGCCTCGGCCCTCTCTTGGTGGGTCGTCTTCATCCCCTTCTTCGCCGCCGACGGCCTCAGCACCTACTTCACCACCATCGTGTCCGTGCGGCTCTTCCAGGACGGGGAGAAGCGGCTGGCCGTGCTGCGCCTCTTCTGGATCCTCACCATCCTCAGCCTCAAGTTTGTCTTCGAGATGCTGCTGTGCCAGAAGCTGGTGGAGCACACCCGGGAGCTCTGGTACGGGCTCATCATGTCACCCGTCTTCATCCTCCTCCAGCTGCTCATGATCCGAGCCTGCCGGGTGAACTGACGGCGAGGGAGCGGGCTCCGCATCGCCGCCCTCGCCCCGGCTGGGGACGTGCCTGCCTCACCCGGGGGGGGACCTGGACTCACAGCGACGGCCATTGGGCTTTTCCCCATCGTTATTTCCTTGCAGAGTGGGGGGTGGCAGGTTGCACAGGTCCGGTTCTGGGAGAGGAAGGGGCTGTCATTAAGCAGGTGGCTGCGTTGTGTAGCACCCCGTTTCTTTGGAAGATCCTTTTGTGCCGCAACCTTATTTCAGTTCACTCAGCTTCTGGTGTTAGTCTGAAAGTATCCTGCCCTGCAAGCACTGTTTGATATGCTGGCTATTTTATTTTAAAATAAAAATGCACAGAAGGATTAGTTTTATTTATAAAATTCTTTTTCCCTAGAAAGCATTTGTACTTAAAACTGCTGCCTGGGGAGTGGGAATCACCCGGGGGTTGGTCGGTTGCTGTAAATACCCTCACACACCCCGCTGCCAGCCAGAAACGCCGCAGCTGCTGCCGCCCTGGGATGTTTTGTGGGTGTGATCTCCCCTGCATGTTCCATGCTCTGATGGCAATGGAACCAGTGGCTGCTCCTTTTCTCCCTAGCAAGCGGCTGGGCACTGGGAGGGAAGTTTCCTGTAGGTGACGATGGTTGTCCCTTCACACTGTCACACTGCTGCTGGCCCCTCCCGGCTGGTGTGGTGGGAGAACCAGTGGTCTGATGAAGCTGGATCCATAAGCTGACACAGATTTAGCCCAGTCTGGGCTGTACTGGGGGTTAGCTCCTGATGTGCAGTTTGAGCTGCTCCCCACCAGTCTCTGTTCAGGTGGCACCTCCAGCCCTGGTTTGATGTCCCCAGTGACTCTAAATGGCCTGTCCTGGGCTGGTGTCAAGGTCTGGTGCTGAAGTACAGGATGGGAGCACCAGTATTGCTCGGTCCTTGCACACCCTTAGGTGGTGCTGGGCCCCAGTGCTGGGACCTGCCTCACAGGAGCTGCTCCACTCCTGCTTCACCTTGTGATGTGGTTTGCCAGGGCTTTGGTGGTGACACACCAAAGGGCAGCCATAATGTCCCCAGATGCTGTTCTGGTCTGTCTGCTTGGAGCCAGCTGTTTGCTCACAGGGGCCAAGCTATGACAAACCAAGGACACATCACTTGGGAGGAGGGTGGTGGCTGCTTGTCATCCACTGGCACCTCACAGCAGCGTGACTTCATCCCTGCTTTCGGTGTCCCTGTGCCGTGGTTGTGCCCACAACACGCCCGATTGCTCTCTGAGTGCACGGGCCAGAGATGTTTCATCACCAGCAGGCACAGAGCCCCTGGTGTGGGTCTGGGGAGGGTGAGGGCTGGGCTAAGGGGCAATGGGAGCAGGGTATCGAGGCCCGGGTGGTGACAGGGGACAGCCAGTGTCTGCTGATGGGCACGAAGAACTGGAGCTGCAGAGGGCGGAGGACAGCGTGGGTGAAGGCAGAGAGGAGCAGGAGGAGCAGCAAAGCCTCTGAGTCAGGAGGGGACACGCACTGAGTTGCCCTGGGGACTGATTGGTGCCTTTGGACTCTTCCCACAGCTCCCCAGCCACCCGGCTAATTAACCCAAAGAAGGGGCATTCCAAACCAAAATAAAAATAAGGTCAAACAAATGAGCGCATCCTTCAGCCTCGCTGCAGCGCTTCGCAGAGGGACAGGGCCGTTTCCTGCTGCCGAGCCCCCGCGGGGCTTGCCTGGACCATCAGCACCCGCTGAGCAAACAGCCCTGTCACCGGGGCGGGGTGGCACGTGGGACGATGCCACAGCCACCCGTGTGCCACCCAACTGGCCCACAAGCAGCTTTTCCAGCATTTTGCCGCTGCCTTGGGGAAGAACCAGCAGTGGTGTTTCCCAGCTCTGCTCCTCCCAGGTAAGGCAGGCTCCCGGGGGCCTTCGGGGACGTTGCCAAACTGTGGCACTTGGGGTGTGGGGCTGCCTGCGTGGCTGGGGGCGGTGGGGGTCACCTGGCAGCCAGGACTAACCATATCCCTTCCCGGGACTCGCTCCTCATGCCAAGGAGTCACCCGCTGTGCCCAGGGCCACCAAGTCCTCCAACACAACTTCCCGGCGCCCCAGCAGCGTGCGGTTCCCACACACCGGCCTGTGGCCGGGGCGATGCGGCCACGCAAAACTCCTTCTGGGAGCATCCCCCTGGGTGAAATCCCGCTGGGCTCTCTGCAGCTGACGGGGTGTGAGGGGACAGTCCCTGACACCCGTCCCTGCCCGGTGCAAGCCATGGAGTCCCTGGTGCTCCCTGGCATGGGGAGGGCGGCTCCTCAAGTCTTGGGCCAACAGACTCTTTCACACGCTGGAACACACTCTGGCGATGACAAAAATTTCGCCTCTGGGTTTATTTTTGTTGCGGGTGAGTTGGGTATCGCTGCCAGCTGGGCCTTTCCCAAACGCAACAGCAGCTCCTGGGCTAAGAGCGTGCAGTAGGGCAGTGCCCCGGCTCGCTCCCAGCCCAAGGTTTGGCCCTGGGGACACCCCAGGGGAGTGGCATGGCTTCCCTAGGATGGTGCCATGGGCCCTGGTGGGTGCCCAGCCCCGCGCCCCTCTGAAGCCCTGGGTCTGTGGGGAAGGAGCGTCTGCACAGCCCGGCCTCCTCCTGACCCTGCACATGGACCCAGAGGTGCCCAACCAGCATCACGCTGGTGAAGGGACAGTACCCGCTGTCACCCCACTCCGTGTGTCCCAGCTCCTGCCAAATACAGGCGATGGGAAAGGTATGCATGAGGCTCCTTGTACCCACAACTTTCTTTGTTTCTTGATAAATGAGGCTGGAAAAGCCACCTGCTGTTCATGCACGAATCGCATGATCGGTGTCCCAGGCTCATGCATCAATGCCCACTGTGTCACTCTGTTCCTTTGTGGGTTTTTGGAGAACAGCTTGAAACTAGAAGAGCTCTTGGCTCAGCTTCAGCTCAGGCCTCTCCCTCCTCTGGAGCTCAACCCAAAGTGCACTGGTTTGGTCAAGGGGCTGAGCGCACCCGTCACAATCCACTGAACTGGGCAAGGTGCCTCCAAACACCTCTCGAGGCAGATACAGCCACAGCCCCGTTTCAGCTGGGGGGGGTGGCTTCTGCTGTCATCACGACTGGAGGCTCTCACTCACTTCAGATGAGGGTTTGTGAGTGTAGGTCAAGTCCAGGTCCCTTCTGGCCATGTCTGTGTGTCAGGGACTTGAGCCACTCAACACCTCCCCAGCCACTGGCTTAACTTTAGTTGGGCTTTGAGGCTGAACACAACCACCTTAAACACCTGCACATCATCTGCTGTAAGCCTGTCCCTGTGAGGAGGCTGAGTGTGGAGATGGGCAGATTTGTCCTTGGTTGCCCCAAAACTGCACAGAGCCTGGGTTTGTACTTTGGGAACCCTTTGTCTCACAGAGGTGGTCACCCCATGGTATCCACCCAGGGGTGCTGAGGGCACAGGGCATGACATGTTACCGTCTCCCAGGACTCCCAGCTGGAGAGAGGAAGTTCTTAGTGCTGACCAAGGACTGAAAATTCTGGGTATTTCTCCTGGTTGGGCTCCAGCGATGGTGCCAAGGCCATGCAGTGTGGCTGTGGGTGTGCTGGGCACCTGGGTCTCCTGCCAGCCTGGGGCTTCCTCAGCTCCTACAGCCTCTTCCCCAGCCTATGCCTTCAGCTGCAGCCCTGTGTCTTTGCTGCTGAAGGCCACAGGGACTGTGGCCCAGACATGTGCAGAAGGAAACCTTGGATGATGGGGCATTTTTCAGAAGGAGTCCAAAGCAAGATGCCAAGATCAGAAAACATCATTCTGGTTTTCTATTTGTGTAAGATGTAGAGACGACGTGTGGGTGTCAGGATTGGGAATTCCATGACATCCTGAACAATGGCTGACTTCAGCAACCCCAGAACATCTCGCGTGAGCTGCATGGGCTTTTGCAGCCTTCCTTGAGGTGGAGCTGAGACACAGTGGCTGTTGGGGAGCTGCTGGCAGGGCTCCAGCCACGCCAGGGGCCAAGGCTGTCCAAGCCTTAGTTTTCTTTGTGTCTTTGATAACTTCCAGGTGCTGTAAGCATTCACAGCTAAAGCACTAACTCCACAGCCAGCTCTCACCTGGGCATGTCTTTTAGGAAATGGCCTGATTCATGCAAATGGAAGTTAGATTTTTATCACTAAAAATGATTGAAACATATTTCAAATCACTGGTGCCCAAGGCCCTCCTGTGTGCTGGCTCTAACACTTGGATCACTCCAAAGACTTACAAAGTACCTTGTGGTGCAAGACCCCTAAACACTGTAGCCGGGGTCTCCCCCCTTGCAGCTTCCCCTGGTGCCTCAGCCCTGGTGGGGGGTGCCCGGGACTACTGGGGGCTGCTGGGGGCAGAGCCAGCTTCAGCCCGGGCGGTGGGTGAGCCTGAACGCAGGGCTGAGCTGGAAGAGACTGTTGCAGGATGCTCTAGTGCGGCTCAGCAGCATCTGGCACCCCTCAACAGGGCTTTTCAAGCAGCATATTTGTCTCCAGAGTTCCTCCTCTGGCCCCAGACCACCACCCTGACCACCTCAACCACATCCATTGCTGTTGTGCTCCTCATGCCACCTGATGCTCTCTGTGTCTTGCTGCTTTTCTTGCCCTTTTTTTTTAGGGCTGTCAATCAGCAATGGGAACACTGATTCCACCCCACTTACTAAAGCTGGTGTATGCCTGCATCCTGGGAGAGCCTGGCTGGTGATTTGCGGGGAGTAAAAGCAACATTTGCAGTAGAGCATGTCCTCTGGTGACTTCCTCCACCAGCAGCCCACAGGCTTCATGCAGTGAGTGCTGACATCAAGTCATGATCTGGGATGTGGTAGCAGTGTGGTCTGGTTATCTCACCCAGAAACTAATTTCCTTGACCAAGATAAGAGGCTTGGCTGCCTGTGCCAGGCTGTTCCTGCTGGCAAGATGAAAGAAGCCCAGCAGCCCTGCCAGCAAGGGCCACCCAGCCCTGCCTGGAGGTAGAGGAGCTGCGGGTCACCCTTGCCTGGGGTTGCCTCTGCGTGTCCTCCTCTTGGAGCTGTGGACCTGCCTGCGGTCCAGCTTCCCAGATATTCCTGAATCCTCATCATTTAGCTTCGGGTTTGGTTTTTGCCCAACAAGGTCCCATGTCAGAGGCATGTCCTACTTGCGTGTAGGCAATGGCAAACTGCAGCCCTCTTACCTCAGCTTCTGACTGCTGGGAACAGCCAAAAAGGTGCCAGAGAGCACCTAGGAAATGAAGAGATAAGCAGTGTTTCATCTAGATTTGTCAAGAAACTGTGCTACCCCAATCCAACACCCTTCTCTTGTGGGTGACAGCCACTCTGGGGGCAAGAGAGGGCAAGCACAAGGTATCGT